TCCTAAAATAAAGTAACCAACCTCTAAACCCACTAATAAATTTTCGATCGTTTATTATTACTATTAATCGATTAATTCATAAAGAAATCTTTCTGTCAACATGGTCAGACTTCATTCTACGTGTCACGACGTTTCTACCGATCTTTATCATCTCAAAGACAACGAAGAATCGTTTCAATCTCTTCTTCTTCTTTTTTTTCTTATTTTTTACCGCCTTCCAAGACCTTTAAATCCAATAACAAAATTGTCAGTCATTTATTATTACCACTAACCAACGAATTAATAAAGAAAGCATTCTTGTTTTTTTAACATGGCCTGACTTCATTCTACGCGTCACCACGTTTCTACCGATCTTTATTACCTCAAAGACAACGAAGAATCGTTTCAATCTCCTCTCCTTTTTTTTTTCTTATTCTTCATTTTTTTACCGCCTCCTGGGGCGTATACACATGACTCATTCCGTACTTGAGTCAGGTAAAACGCTCGCGTGTTGTCGATTACGTAAAGGAGTATCTTGCAGGGGAATCGGGATGACGGAGAACCGTGGAGTAGAGGAGACGAGAGGAGAGAAGACCAGGGAACATAGTAATTAGAGGCACGCTCTCGGTATAACGAAGGAGTAGAGCAGAGAACTGGTTCTACCGTTAACAGAAATCGTTTCTGGTCAGATTCAGAGCCAGCTTCTTTCTCTGTCTCCGCGACAATTGGCCTTTACGGTATTTCCGCTTTTGTTACGTAGCCGCCCCGAACAGGAACTCGGTCAACTCGATTCGACAAACGCGTTCATTTTACATTCCCGTTCGCGAATTCCCTTTCAGGATCAGCGTAAACGTCCCCAGTTTCTACATCAATGTTTAGTTCATTCTAAATCTGGATTCAGCTCTGACTGGATCAAGCTCTAACGCTTTATCGTTAATTAATCGTTGAATATTTTGCTATCTGGTTATTGATCTTTGAGCTGCCTTCGGAAAGGGTTTTCTGATATCTCGGACTTTTCTACAATCTGTGAATTTGAAACTGGAAATTTCTAATTTTCGGCTCGAGATTCGAAGACCGTTGGAACTTATTTCTTATAGATTTATACGAATTATGGTACTTTGTTGTTGAAGAATATATATAGCTATAATCTGCTAATTATAAGCTATATATATTATATATTATATAAGCTATATATATTATAATAATAAGCTATATTGATTTTTTAATTATCTTCGAAAAAGGATCTCGATACCTTGTACTTTTTCAAAACTAAACATTTTAATTCTAAATTTCTTATTCTTAATTCTAAATTCGAAAACTTTCATGTGTCGTAGGTCAGTAGGAATTGTTCTGTGGTATTTTATCGTCGAAAGATTTCTAGCAATATTCATTTTATTAATTTACTACTTCATTTATTTCGAATCATATTCATCTCCTAGGATTATTGGCGACTACAGTTGTATACGATTATGATATCTCATTAGCTTATACAATATTAGGCTATCAGGCTATCGTTTGGTCATATGTATGCACGATATTTACATCCTCATTAGTGGGAATATTATAGTAATATTTAATTACTGTTTCTGTCTGAAGCATTCGATATTCTATGCAAAATTTCTTTTTTCGTGGTTCCTAAATGAATAATTAATAGCCACTTGTTCTCCTATCTTTTTTAAATGCTTTTAACTTCGTTTTCATCAGGACGATTAGATTCTCCTGGATCTCTCAGCTTTCCTCGTAGCCATCGCTCTCTGCCATTCTTCCATTTGGTTTCTTCTCGTGTTTCGCCGTCTCGTTGCTCTTCTTCACCTTCGTTCGTCACGATTCTCCCTCTCTTCTTCCCGTTTAGCCGGCTGTTGCTCGTGTTCTAGCCGCCACGCAACGCGAGATTAGTTCCGCAGAACTGGCGACGACCGACAGCCTTGAACCAAATTGCGAGCTGTCGTTGTTTAGTTGTTTAGCTCGCGTGCACGGAGAAACTCGGTGCACTTCGTACAGTTATTAGGCGTTTAACGCTGGAGCATTAGAATCATCGAAATGACCAGCTGATCGTTTTTCATAGTAACTTTACGGATGTGTAATGCTACAAATTTTGAAAATTTAGTGAACTTTTGGTGAACTATAGCGTCACATTATAGTTCACTATCGCTATAATTCACTGACTATAGCGACAGTGCAAAGAATATCGTAAAATGGAAAATATAAAGTAGATTTTAAAGAAAACATAAGCATAGACTTAATTTAAATAAAGATATTTGGTATTTTTATGTTAAATATTGAAAATAACTATGATCAAAGTTACCGATGCAAATTTTTATTACAAGTAGCAATAATCTTCTGTCGTTTGTACATATGAGCTTATTTTCGAAGGCCGAAACTTATGCTCATGCATCGTCTGGTATAAGTTGAGTTTAAAGTGGTAGGAGATCGTCAATGCAAAAAAGAATTGGGAAAAACGAGGCATTATATAATGTTGCTAATCTGTCTCCATTCTAAGCTTCCTTAGGGATATACAATGATTCTACACTTGTAACCCTAATCTATCTTACGCAAATGATAAACAATATAGAAGTTCGAATTTCCTCCTGACAATTGATCCACTAGAAACTTTAACCAACTTTGACTTAAACTTAGAAAACTTTGATCGACTCTATCTTTTCAAATTTTCAACAATTTTTCAAATTTCTATAACCAGATCATAGTATCAGTGCATGACGTCTCATTCGAATATTATTGCGTCTAAAAGGGTCATTTTAAATCTTAAAAATCTTAAAGCAACACTGACGAAGCAATCTTTCTGTGTTTTCAAAAATCCTTCGATATTTTTCCACTTTGCGAATTCGTTGGAACGCTGCGATTATACTTTATAGATAATCGCCGGGTAATTCACAGTCATTGGAATTACAATCTGCGACAATCACGGACATAATTCAAAGATCGTTGATACTGGCGGGAGGGAACGACAGCTGAATATGAATATTAAAATCTTCGTTCGTTGAAATCTATCAGACTGTGGTGGCGGCACGACCTCGTCGACAGTCGGTGTACCATGATAATAATCATTGAATGCGGTTTTGTCGCATTTGAACCGCACGCTCAGCCATTGGAAAAAAGAGAAGAAAAATAGAAAAACCGTTCTGTTCGTTGGTTTCGCCTGCATAGGGCCTCTAACCATGTCGATACAAATATTAACGATCTACGACGAATCTGGCGTTCATTTTTATCGTTACCGCGTATATTTCGCCTTTGGAAAAAGATATGAAAATTGTTTCTACTAGAAAAATTAAGAATTTGATTATTTTATATCTTTTATGTGTTTTCATATTTGGAATATCGAAGGGGAAGAACCGCAGTATTTGATCTACAAATATAGATCAGAAATGTAGAATCGAAATAAAATTCTTTCTCTTCTGAAAGAAACGTTGACTTCTTGTGGAATTTCTGGCATGCCACTGATCGACCATTGTTACTCCAACCTCGCCGATCCAAGGCTACATTCACAATTGCGTAAAAATAATCCTTTAACCCTTTATAAAGCCGTGGAATTTGGAAATCTCCTCTTAAACTTTAATTCGCTTGTTTATCACTGTGTGTTTAAATGTATTTCATCGACACATTCTGCGAAACTAATATCATATAAACTAAATTCCTTAGAAATCAATGTTAAGTTTAATTTGCATCGTGGATAATTTAAAATTAATCTGAAAACTAAACTCGGCGAATAATTGGAAAACAACTGGGGATTCAAATTTTCGAATTCGACGATTTACGTCTTTGATAAAAGATATAAAAATATGACAAAGACGAAAAAAAAGAACGTGAAGAACGTGGCATATGAGAAACAATTAACACAGTCTTCGAAGGGGATAAGAAGAAACGCGGAAGAAACGTGGCGAACCGAGAAGAAGAAACAGACGAGAGAAGCTGTTAGGCCGGCTCACTATTTTTGGAGGAGCATCTCCAAGGCCGCCGACTGATTCGCATGCTCCTCTTTTTCTTTTCTTCCACGAAATAATTTCTGATGGCCGCGGCTTCCGACACCGTGCTGTTGCCGGGAAAAAAAGGTGCAAAGAGGACCGGTGGAACGGGGAGGATGTATGCCATCGCTTATTCTAAAAGGCCTAGCTTCTCTATCATACTCGAAAAAACGAAGGTGAAAGAGCTACCTGAATGGACGGAAACGAGAATTCTTTTTTAAGAAATATCAACTGAATAATGGAACTTCTTAATAGCTTGAGAGTTGGACACTTTGCGGATGTCGTGTTTGATAGAGGAATAGAATGATCTATCTTTATCCGATCATTGAGGAAATCCTTTGTCATAAATTCTTCCTTTCTTCACGTGGACTTTTATTCCATCGTCTTTTTTATCCATTCTACGATGTAGTCTGAGCTATAACATTCACATCTTAGATGTCATCGTACATAATACAATTATTAATGCCTATTTCTTACGAAAAGTTGAATGTATGTATCTTTCTGAATGTATTTATGTATCTGCCGCTAGTAATGCAAGAAATTTTATTAAATGCTAATTATTTCCTAAATCATTCAAAACCTGTCCTTTCCATAGCATCTCTCCTGTGTATGATAATTCAGGAGTTCTTGTAAAAAAAAACACTATTAAGTGTCAAGATTAAAAAATATTTATTTCTTTATTGGAAAATATTTCACATATCAATAAGAATAGATAGAATTTCAGTGTAATTTCTCTTTCTAAATAGTTATCAATAATGCCAGAATCTGGTTGCCTTTATAGAGAAAAAAATAACCGCGAATAAACATTAGTTAATTGTTTCTTGGTTTCTGTCTATGCCATCTGTCCGAACGAATGGAAAAGAACGGAAGAGAAGCTTATTTCTTACTTTTCAATCTTTTATTGGAGAAAGCGAAAGAAACTAAGTTCAGACGATACAAGATACGAGATATTATGGAAATTACGTATAAGTAAAATTTAATTGTCTTTGATGGAGTGACAGAGTTTGTAGTGAATAACGAAATGAAATTGGTGTCCTGTAGGAAAACAAGGCAAAGATGGACCGGAAGAGAAGAAGGACGCCGATGGAGAACTATGGGGCAACGTGGAAGCGCAGGCCGCCTTCCTCGGCCCAAATCTCTGGGACAAAACTCTGCCCTATGATGCCGACCTGAAGGTATTGAACCATGTATGTACAAAAACGCGATACGGTAAGCTCACAACTCGGCTGAATACGGATCCTCAATGGCTGGATCTGGAATTATTTTAAACAATCTGGATTTTTGCATTTCTTCTTTTTCCTTTTTTCTTACATCTTCCTTCTTCGTACTAATTGTGAATGGCAATTAATTGGACCTCATTCTTTCCCAGCAGTAGGAAAAATTATCCTTTGTAGTATCGTTTTGTGGAGTTTCACACAAGTGTTGCAAATATATGTAGCATTACAATAGCGATAGATTAGTGGTAGGAGTCTGGATGAAATTCCATAATGCATGGTTCCTTAAAAAACGTGTACGACTTAATCCCTATTTCCTCCTACTGATAGTTAAGAACATTATAAATTCGCCTCGTGTTTTATGGGCTACCATTTTTGATAAGAAATAACACATCGATATAGAGGCACACCACTATACAAAATCAATCTTGTCTTATTCTTTCTTTAACAGAGAAACCGATTAACTAAAAATATCTTAATTAACCCATTAAGGATTATTGTTCAGTTAAACATGTTCATATTCTAACGACAATTTAACAGATCCCAGTAATATGAATTAATCGAAGAACAAGAAATGCAACGTTGGTCCTTAATGGATTAATTTTATTCCACGTAATAATCGACGTGTTAACCAACGATCTTCCAAAGAATGTAAGGCGAAAGTCAGGAAATCCACCGAGTTAAAGAACAGTTCACTATAATCTTGCTTCTTAACAATTCAACAAAAAATGCTTGCAATAGCTCGTTTATTTATTTTTTTCTCTTTCTTTCTTTTTCGCGGTTCATCTTGATACTCATGGAATGCTCGTATTAAGTAAGAACGATTGCTCGTCTCGGCAACCGATGTACGGGCACTATTTTTGTAACCGAAACGAAATCAAAAGGATGATGGTCTTTACTTCGTGTTACAGTACGTCGATCTTGACGAGTTTCTCTCCGAGAACGGCATTCCTGTGGACGGCGTGGCCGGCGGCGGACAGGGCACGATGCAGAGCGGGCAACTGCACAAGATCAACAACACCGAAACGCCAGGACACCAAGGACCGGCCGGTCTTCACTTAGAACCGGTCACCAAACGCGAGAGATCACCCTCGCCGAGCGAGTGTTGCTCCCCTGACACTATGAACCCACCCTCACCCGCGGACTCCAGTGAGTGAATTTCATCCCCTAATTCCTATCTTTTGCGACACACTTCACACGTCGATCTCGGTGTCGATCCTGAGCAATATTAGGGTTTTATAGATTTTATGCGACTTGACTTTCTTCCGTCGAGGGAGAGCTGTCGTTTGGTAGAAGCGGATGAAGTATAACGATCTATTATTTTAGTTTCTGATTTCATTATTTTTGGAAATTTCTTACTTTTTTGTAGAAAGCATTAATATAGAGAATCTTGTCAACGTAGAATGTCAGGAACTTGGTGCTTAACATTTAATTCAGTTTTTTTTTGGCTTCGTTATTTCTAGAAATGTCTTTTATGGTATAGAATTGTATTCTCAATTATATTATTTGTATCTGCCTTTTGTATAGAATGTTGGAAACTTAATTTAGTTGGTGAGTTTCAATATTTGTTGGAATTTTATACCTTTCAATACAAAAAACTAGTGACTTTTGGGGGGGAATGTGCATTGTAGGCCACTGTGACGTGATTTTTAACACAATGTTATATCAGGTCACTTGTTACTCGTCCTAAAGTTTCTATATTCCTTTCCCAGAATTAATTGTTCGATGCTTTAAATTATTAATAGCATACAACATAGCGTTTACTATATATAATATTGTCCGTCTCTTTTTATTCGAGTGCTGCTTTTACAAAATCTGATCCTTTCAAACGTCTTATAAGATACTCTCATGTCTTTGATAATACTGTACAATTGTTCGAACCGTATAGATACTTGCAGAATTGGAAATCAATGAAATCACAAGATGGAATGAAACATGTTCGTGAGTAATAAATCTCTCTGTCCTGTCCCTGATATTCTGTCGAATTAAGTTAGAATATTAAGGCGCATTTCTATTTTTCGTTTGAATCAAATCTTTGCTGTCGGGTGGCACCTTAAGTTCTAAAAGTGATTTTTCTCAGAACCACCTTTTGACCAGATACGCGTATTTGAATTAATACAGCAATATCCAGGATCAGTAGAATTTGAGGATTCAGGGAAGTTTGTAAAAGCTGACACGTAATTGTTCTTGTACGATTTATGGAAAGTAAGGCAACGATAAAATTACTACAGGATAATATATTTTGACGAAGTCTCAGGATCGACTCTTGCAACAGCGACGATATATCCGAGTTTCCGGACAGCGTATGAAACTAGACTAACGTCGACATTGTCGATTATTCCTTCTCCGCGCGACAGATTCCGAGGACTCATCACGAATACAATATGGCTTGTCTCTTGTAGCGCTCTCGATGGCCTCATCGGGGCGAGACTTCGATCCACGTACCCGGGCCTTCTCCGACGAGGAGCTCAAACCGCAGCCGATGATCAAGAAATCACGGAAGCAGGTCAGTTGATTGTCATATTCGAATTGAATATTTTTCATTCATCATTCGATAAATCTCCTTGTTCGAAGCATTGAATAGGAAGCAATCAATAGAAAGAGCGATCCTTTATAACATCTTTTTGTTTTATTTTTATTACCACTACTCTTTGTTTTTCCATTGTATTTTCTATCTCGTTTTCTATCCTTTTATTATTATTTTTTTTCTTTTCTATCAAATATGTCCTTATTCGATGCTGAACTTCTCATATTTAATTGAATTATTATTTAGGACATATAATTATTATTTGAAATATTTCTTACTTTAAAGTCAAAGTAATGGAACTTAGAGAACAGAAAAAGAAGGTATTTGATTAAGTATGGTTATTATAATATTCCTAAAATATAAAATAAACAGAGATTCTACTGTACAACTAATTCTTTTATTTTTATCTCATATCTTATTTTTATCTTATTATTATTTTTATCTTTTCTTTTTATCTTATATTACAACCATATAAATAATTTATTGAAATTCAATTTGTAAGATTTAACAGTCACTCTATGATCTTTAATAGGATTTTCAATATCCTTTTGGTTTTCCTTTACAATTTCTCATTATAGTTTTAAAATACATCAATTTCTACGTTCGTTCTAATTTCCTGCTCTTTTCCATGCCCCGCTATCGGCTACAGTTCGTTCCGGATGACCTGAAGGATGACAAATACTGGGCGCGTCGTAGGAAGAATAATATGGCAGCGAAACGATCGCGAGATGCACGTCGCATGAAGGAGAACCAGATCGCTCTCAGGGCCGGCTTCCTCGAGAAAGAAGTAAATCTTCCCACGCCTCTAAAATTAAAGAATACACATTTAAACCAGGCTCTAAGTCTTTGCGTCGTATTGATGGAATTACGCCAATGTAGTGGAAATCATGTCCTATGTAAAACAGAATCGTTTTTGTTATGGGACACATATGGAAATAGCATCATTCCTTTTCAAACATGCAGAAATATGTATCATAGAATGAAAGTCGTTTAATTGTTTTACAAATTTATCTTTGTCCTGTAAAAGAGAGCCCTTTGCTTTGCTGTACAAATATATTGAAACCATGTTTTATGTGAAACAAAATCTTTCCTAATATCAAGCATGGAACAGTATGATTCTATCTCAACGAGAAGGAATATGTACAATGCGCAGTCACTTACATGTTCTACAGATTTTTCTTTGCTTCTATAAAAAAATCCCTTCACCTTGAAGTACAAGTACATTTTCCAGTGATAAATATAGATTAACATTCGCTTATCTTAAAAACCAAGTTTTTTTTCTGTACAAATAAAACTTCTACTATAACTGTATCAGTCTCCAATGGAAGAATCATCCTGTTCTGAGTTAAAACATCATTTACATGAAATGTTTTGTCCCTTGGGATAATATTTGTATTATCACAGTCGATAACTTACGCTCTATTTTTAATTGAAAGAATAATTCCATGAAACAAAAATGCAAAATTTCAGAACATGGGCCTGCGGCAGGAACTGGACCGGTTAAAGAATGAGAACATGCTGCTGCGTGACAAGCTGAGCAAATACACGGACGTCTAACAGTACGCCGGGCAAGCAACAGCTCGTCGTGGTATTAAAAAAGATACAGACACGAGCGTTTGTTGTGCCAGCTCCTCCCACACACTATAGTCGCAGCACTTAGGTTTTTCGCCAGTTCGGATGAAAGAAGAATAATAGAAAAAAAGAAAAAAAAACGAAAAAAAAGAAGAAGATGAAGAAGGAAAAGGAAGAAGCGCGCCGAATCGCAAGACCATCTTCGATAAATTCGAACCAGCCCACCCTTAATCCCTAGAGGATCCCGAAGATATCCTTCGATGAGAATTTCTGCTAATTCATCTTTCTTCTCCTCTTTCCTTCGCTCTTCACATGCTCATATACATACACAAAATGTGTACACATACACACATACACATGTAATTTCTTTTAACCCATTCCCCTTTGGTCCTTCCTGAACTCCTTTCTCCCTTACCCAGCCCCTGAAAGCCACCCTCTCAAAAAAAAGTGTACATAGTTATATGTATAGTTAGATTATATATGTATACATGCATACATACACGGCCGTGTGTATGTTTGTCTGTAAGCGTGACTCTGTGCGCGCGTGTACACGCGCAACCGCATGCACACGTGTATGTATTTATACGCGTACATGTATATACCATGCAGGTGTATTAACCAGTCGGGTATATCAATTCGCTGCAACGCATTATCGAGCATTATATGTATACACATATATACAAGGAACGCGTACGTATATATCTATATACATAAAGAGACATAAGCATACACGTATACACGCGGAACCGCAGACCGTGGAATCGTTAGTGTGCGTGCCAGATGCGAATGATGTATAAACGGCAGGACTCTTTGAAACTTTTCCTTTTACGTCGGGTACGTTGATCAATCAATTAAACGCTTTCTATCGACTGTGTTGTAGGAAGATTCAATAGAATTTAATCTCAATTAATTCGTTAAGTAGAAGGCCGTAGTATTTTTTGAAGAATCCTTAATTTTTTAAACATAATGATTTGTATACTTGGATATCTCTTCCATTTCAATGCACAGTAATATTTTAATGTTAATCAAAATGATTTTACAATTGTTTTTAAATAAGATTTACGTTTGTAAAGACTAAAGAAACTGATCCATCTGAAATTAATTCTGATCTAAGATACTTTTTCATTAATTACTTGATTAGAAAGTTCCTATTAATGATATAGTTGGAAGATATGAATTTACTGGAGTAAAATTAAAGGAAAAGCGATCTATTGGAAGAATTATCTTAACTGTATTTACTAAACATCTGACACGCACACGGTAATCGCCACATAAACAGGGCTGGAGCTGATTAGAGTAATAAGTGAAAGATGTACGAATGTGTTAAACACAGATAGGCGCGCGTAGAAATGATCGATAGTTGGAAAATACGGCCGCAAGCGGTCCTTAAGCGTCTATTTAATCACACGCTGACTCTCGAGCTTCTGTTTGGTTCTTATACAATGCAGCCCCCAAATCTGATTATTGCGGATACATTCTTGATCTAACGTTTTTCTCGGTAGTCTAACTTCAAACGAGCCATGAAGCAGCGATTTTAAGGTTCTTGAATGACGTCTAAATTGGCCAAATACAATAACTAACATTATTGTATTTCGACGTGGTTTTGTAATCTATCTGCATTATATTTTAAAAGAGTATCCAGTGAATTTTATATTGGTTGTAACATTTTCTAATGGAACTTTTAATATTAGAGAAGAACGAGAAGCGAAAGAATATCCGTAATTGGTGACTTGTTAAGAAAAAGGAAAAAATGAGAAACAAAGAAAGGAAAAAGAGTTAATTACGAACGAAGGATACTTGGGAGAACGACGCTTTTCTGCGCACGGACTAGGTCCTAGTTCTCTAAGAAACGTTAATTACTGTAGCGTATCCCACAAGTGGTGATGGTACACACACAAGTGATTCTAGTTGTTTTTATCGTAAGATAGAGATCAAGTGCTTCTTTTTTTCATACATAACGTTTTAATCTCTCTCCTCTCTGTAGCGTTTCGTTTTTTCGGCGCTCGGTTGTATGCCAGTTGGATGAGTCGCTCGAAGAGCAACATACACTCTCTCGAGTGCGGGGAAAGCGTCGCGACGCATCTTTTATTATCGTTTTATCATGCTTCGACGTAGTCGATGGCTGTCCGACAATGGATTCTCATTAGATGTTGTCTATGGTGCTCCTCCCTTTTATCTCTTGCTTTTCTACTTCATCCTTCAATTTTATCAATATTCAGTATATATTTTATATACACAGTTTAGGGAAGCAGTGGTCCAGTAATTTGGAACTCCTTCCATCTTTCCTTTCTTATGCAATGGATATATTATTGGCAAATAATTTCTTCTTTCTAGTCTTTTTTTTTTTATCAATTCTACTACTCTTATATTCGTTTGACCTGTTCTGTTATTTCTTCTATTAAATCTAACTCTTCATTTCTTCGTTCCTATTTCTTTTCCTTTCAGTTTCCCAATGACATCGCATTATTTTATTGTTATTCTTCTCTTTCTATACTTATCTGTCTGTTGCTAATAATATATTTCTGTTATCTGTCTATTTATCTCTTGATATCTATCTTCTTTATATTTCATTTGCCCATTGTTTCAATATGTTCCCACACAAGCACCATACAACTTGGATCTTTTTTAAATGTTTATTGTTATCTGTAAATATTTTTTACTAAGTACCACCGTACTATTAGTTCTTTTTTATGGCAAGATATAATTGCATAAATCAAAATTCTAGAGAATCGTATAATGATCATTCTTAAAAAGGAGATGAAGAGTACTTTTTTATTGAAAGAAAAAGCAATTGCATGTTCCATTGTTAATGACGCCACGGCGAGAGTTATACACATGATCATAGGAATAAATCGTGTATTAAAAGGGCTACCCTTCGGACAAGAATAAATAACGTATATCTCTGTTCGTAGTTGCTTCCTCTTGTCTGACAAAGAAAAGCAAAGAAATTCAAATGCGAAAAAGAAGAGTAATCATGAGCTAAGCCCACTCATGCGCCTTTCACGAATAATACACATGCGACTAATATTTTATGTACTGTTGATGCGCTAAATGATAAGGGATTCTGCTCGTTGCAACGCTCAGTGACAATAATCGAGTATAATTATTATATACACATGTTTTTTAGCACCTTCTGCGACGTGAAATCGGCATTAAGAGCATGTTCCCGGTGGAACTTTTTTTATATTGCGCCTGTTATTCATTTGTTACATTATTAATTTGTTATTTTATCATTTTTTATCTGTTCCTTTTGACTCTACACTACACGAATTCTCAAAGAGCTTATAACGTATAATGATATATATATATGATACATCATAGATACTATCATATATACGTGTATATTTGTAGACATATACAAGATGAATTAATTTTATAGAAGGCTTTGCCAATGACAGATTCGCTTCGAAACCGCCAGTTTTTTATACGGCAATTACATTTTCTAGTTAATTAAAGTATACGTACTCTGTACATTTGTTTCTTTATTTTTGCGATCACGCGTTAAAACTTCATAGAATCGACTCTATTTTATAATTGTAAATTTTAGTTGGAACAGAGTCCATGTATAATTAATCGTGTCGACGATATGGAAAATTGTTTTACGTCTTGTTATCATATATATATATATATATTTTCTTTTTTTCGCCGAGATTTTATGCACGTTGTATAATATGAAATTTTTGTGTAGTTTATAGTATATACGCGGGTGAATCTCGTAACTGCAAAAACGAAATTACACGCGAATTGCTTTTTCAGTTTAGACTCGTGATTCAGCTCCTAGTAAAATACGATTGAAGAAATTCGTTTAGACGTATCCCTTTACTTGATTGCGAAGAAGAAATGAAAGGCAAAAGTTAGACAACAAAAAAGCGATTTACGAATGTGACATTTAACATTTCTAAATGTATTGCTAACTCCATGCGTGAGGAACGTGATAGAATGAGGTAACACAGATACAGATTAGATTAAGAACATACAATGCAAGGAACATCTCCGCACTCATTGTTCGATCAGATCACACATAAAACACGTCGCTTTTTTGGCATGCAGCCTGATTACCTGAAAGATAAACAGAACTCATTAGATTGTAACATCCGATGCATCGAAAGCTATTTAAATATGAATAATGGGGAAAAATTGTCACACAATGCCTAACAAAACGTACTTTTTGTATCTTGTAACTGCGATTAGTAGCGTCTAGCGACAAATTACAACAAAGCCAGGCATTTTTTGTTTCTTTTCCGATTGTTATAAATAGACTGTGGACTCTGTAAATTATATTCATAAAAATATGAATTTCCATGTATATCCGCGGTCTAATTATAAATAATCCCTGCGTCGACAGTCGCCCTGAAGATGTAAAAAAAAGGAAAAAAAAAAAGAAAGCAAAAAAAGTCGAGAATGAAAAAGAGACGCTCGTTCACGTTTCTCGAAGATCGATATTTGTATAAGTACCTTCTAGTACAAGTTGCTAATTAATTAAACTACTTCGTAGCTTTCTAAGTGACCGGTCTTGGATCTCGGCACAGTTTTCAAACAATGACAAAACGATGAAGCGCAATAGTGTTTGTTGGTTATGTAAAATGAAAACAAAGGAAATAGAAAAGGTAAACAATGTGACCACGTGCGTGCGCACGTGGCGTATGCGCGCGCGCTGAATACTGCAGTCTGAGGATAGCGAAGCAAAAAGAAAAAAATCTATAAAGAGAAAAAATGTCGTAAAGGAGAAATCGTAGAAAAAAGATAATTAGAGAAAAACACGGTAGATGCAACTGACAGCTTTGCTCCAATTAGAATTTAACGACGATGACAGAACGGAAGAAAAAGTAAAAAAGCAAAAAAAAAAAGCAGAAAAGAAAAGAGCAGAAATAAATGCAACATAATGGGAAGAGTTTTAGGTGACGTCGCCGCGTCCATTTAAATGACACGCCATCCGATCCATTTGAAACGAAAAAGATGAGAAAACAGTACACGCGAGAATTAAAATACGACCACCAACGTCAAAGTGTATCACATTTCGAGAAATATATGTATTTGTTATTGTTTTCATTGAATTATATTGTTATACCTAATCCCGCATCCATTTGTTCGTTTAAACTTATTACTACGCTGGTAATATACGCTGAAATGCTTTAAACAGTCTGGAATATTTAATAATTCTGTCACTATTGATATGATCAGATTGTACATAACGATAATCAGTTGCAGAAAGTAGTGAGAATAATCCGTGGTTATTTAAAGGACATTAGCATATTATTTCATGTGTGTTGTACCTATATTTAATTGAAAGAATATATAGGGATCTTAATTTTAAAATAGCTGACAAAAGAAACGAGCAATGATTCGTTACTTGCTTGCGAAACTATAGTGGCCTCGATATAGTACAAATATAAAGTCTGTTTCATGGTGGGTTTCTGAAAATTAGTCACGCTGATATAATGGATTTCATAACCACGAGGTGGACTGGCTAGTACCAGTCGTACGATGATTCTTGAATGAAAACGGTACGAATGTTTCTTTACATCTAAAATAATGTTTGAGTGTACAAAATAATTGTAAGGAGAGTGCGCACAAACGCACCGAAAGAATGTTAATTTGTTTCTCTTGCGATTCTTTGGACAACATCAGTTCAGCGTAAGGAACAGTTCACTGACAAATGTGCACAGTTTTGTATGTGTATCTTTGTCTCTGTCTCTGTTGAACACCGTGAATTCACCATCGAATCGTCTGTCCATAGAATCGTGTGTCGCACAACATCGCTCTCTCCTACTGGCATTCGTACACTCTGTCCTTGTCACATACTATCGCTCTCTCTTTCCACTGGCATTCGTATACTCTATCCTTATCGCACAATGTCGCCAGTATATGACTTATCTGCAGACGGAAATTTTATTACTCGGATAAGTCATGTCCTGCCATCTGTCAAACATGGAAGGAACAACAGATTAGGACACTTAAGGACAGATGACAGTGCATGGCACATCCATAGAGTAGAATCGCAATATTGTGCGACAAGGACAGACAATCATGCGGCGATAGAAAGAGACGGCGATAGTGTGCGACAAAGATAGACGATACGAGACTAGTAGAAAGAGATGGCGTTACTATGTGACGGTGTTAAACAAAGAAAGCGATACAATCGTGATAAGGACAGATATATATATTTTGTAAAGTAAACGATGTTAGGGGGTAAGCGTCAGTGTGCAAATCGGCTAGTTTTCAATGTATATTTTCAAGTTAGTTTTTTTATTTACTTCACAAGAAGAATAACGTAAAATATTGATATTGTTAAGTGGAAAAAAATAATTAAAATTATTACTAAGGCGCCAAAATTATTTATTATACATATACGTAATATAGGCGTAATATATCTAATGTCCATTAGTTAAAGGAATAAATTACAAAAGGTGACAAAACAGTTCGAGAAAATTGGTAAATATTGGTAAGTATTTAAAAAATCGCCGTAGATACGCATGTTCCTTCTGCTAATTACTTCAGAGGAAGAAACGTGCGTATAGTTCTGCCGTTGGCCGTTAGAAGCCCTTGTTCTTATCGCGCATCATTTTGCTGACTTTGTTAATATTGCATCGATGATCTCCCTATTCACCCTGATATATTTACATACATATGTATGTTGGTCATCTGGTTTCAACTATTTCTCTGGTTATATTCTAGTGACAAAATAATGAAAACGGCACTATTATTCATCTTTAATAATTACATTCTATTTTCAATGCAAAAAGAATATTTGTAACATTTTTCTATATAATGAAATAATCGTAAAATGTAGTGTTATATAGGGAGGTGAAACATATGTTACTAAAAAGGGGATTCCTCGTTGTACACAAAATTTCTGTTCTCTTTCATCTATCTTTAATGTATCCATAGTTTTAATAACAAATTTATTTGTTTTTTGAGAATATCCTGTTTGAATACTAACGTTTATACGAATAGAAATTTGCATACACGCTTAAGGTCTATTATGTTATATATTGTGTTATACTTCTACAATAAGCTGTTTCAAAGTGATATTTAACCATCGCTTATATGAGCAATAACTAAAATTAGATTTGTTTGCAGTTAAACACAATTACGATTGTTAGGTAATTGTGGGAAATCATATGTGTTAATCATATTATCTTATATTCAGTTATAAATACCCGTTTTGGTGTAATTATTCGAACTGGTGTATTTTAAGGAAGCTCAAAAATTATTTTAAACATTCTTATTATATTTAAAAACCGATATGGCTTGTTTGAACGACGAAAAAGTAAATTTATATATCTTTACTTATATACTTATTATATACTATTACTTATACTTATAATTTGATGTATTTTAGACAGAAGCAATAAAACTTGCCAAAGAATATCAGCAACATTATTATGAACTGCTTCCTGATTGGTTTTTATATGATTCTGAAAATTATGAACTTATAAGACATAAGATCGGATATGCCTTGTTTGGTCTTCCTAAAGTTGATAAAGACATAGAAATATCAACCACCTGTGAAAGTAAAACATCGGGCACTAACCAGGAGAATGATATATTTAGTAAAATAGTGTACGATAAGAGGATGTGTGAAGCTATAGATACAATATATCAACAGATAATGAAGTTTGGAAGAGATAAAGTGGATAGTACTATTTATATTGGAATTATATTTAATGTAATACTTTTACATGCGGATATAAACGAATCCAATAAAAAAAATGATAAATCAAACAAAGAATTTAATAACATAAGTAGCGTACCAATATTTAAGCTAAAAACAAAAACATATGGTATATCTTATATTGACAATGAAGGTAGAATGTATAAAACTTGGAATGATTATGTAACAAATAATACATTGCCTCAGTGTACTATGATTTTACCAAAGAATGGTTTGTATCAGTATGATCCAAATTATAAAGTTACAGAATATATTTCAACTGCATGGGTTCAGATATTAGAATCACCTGCTTGTGCTGTTAAAACTAAAGTTCTTAAAGGTATTGATATAACTGCAAACACATTGTCTGTAGCTACTACTGTAGGATTTGGAGCTGCTAGCTTGTTAACACCTATTGCACCAGCTGTTCTTGCTGCAGGTATGATTGTATAATTGTTTGTAGGTATACGAAAGTGATTCAATTTTCATTTCCCTTTCATCTCAATTAATTGAGCAAAATTATTATCATTAGGTCTTATTCAGAGTGGCATCTGTGGAGCATGGATTATTGCGAGAAATTCTCATAAATTAGTAGATTTTGCCAAGCACAAACAATCCATTACTCCTACAAATAAGAAAGCATTTTCTGCCTGGCTTGGAATAGGCAGTACAGCCTTATCGTTAGGAGCAAATGGAGGAACTATGCTCCTCTCTAAAGCTTTTGAAAAAAGCAGCACCGTAGGTGTTGCAGCTAAAGCAGCTTACAATTCTCTGATATTAAGTAATTTATCAATGAATGGCGTTGGTATAGTTTATCAAGGATATTGTTTAATTGACAAATACAAAACAGAAAGAGATGTTGATTTTTTGGACATAGTTATATTCACTTCGCACGTTCTGTTCTTTAGTAATGCCCTATTAAACACTAGACTGGCCGGTGAACTCATAGAGTCATCTAAAGGTACCATCTTTGAAAAATTTAAGGCTTCTTTGAGAATCAGTCGACTAAAGGAAGAGTTTGATAAAATGAATGCATACACTGATAAAGGTACACAAAGTAGATCTGAAGGCATTGTGTACAAAATAAAGCAATTTACCAACAAAGAAGATTTCTTATATGGTTTGAATAAATTAAGCTGGGGAGAGAAATTTCCAATAAAATATCAAAATAATAACATTGTGATAAATAATAGAATATTCATAGATCCTGTTCAGTTCACAGGACATTTACTGACAATTGGCACGGTCGCATTTAATTTAATAAACTCGGATTCGTCAATAGCGTCCAAAGAAAGAAACGATGTGATGATTAAGCTAAAACTTTTACTTAGACAATTATTAAAAGATTTTTACGTAGAATCGAACGATGAACAGATGCCTGATATTAATTATTTTAATGATATTTTGCAAGAAATGAAATACTTGGATAACGCGATGGATATACTGACTAAGTGTTTTAAAATTACTACTGTTATATTAGAACATTGCAATGATCCCAAACAGTTCTTATGCGAAGCTATTTATTTCTCCTGGACGTATTGCAAAGCAAATTTAAAAGAATATGTTATAAATCTTAGCTCCGCTCCGAGAAATAGGATATTCCATGCATTAGCGAAGATTGTTACATTTCTATACGAATGCATCGAGGCAATAGGGAATGAATTATTCTCAGCTTTTTACGCATACATGATGAATACAAAACTAACTATTGATAATCAGTATTGCTCATCGCTGTAGCGCTGCCTTTAGTAAAATATCTTATTCCTGTATTTAAAATAACGGAATATTCAATTATTACTTTATATTGCTTTATTGATGATATTATTTTAAGCTGGAGGGAAGAATCTGATTGATAGAGTTTAGTTGTTATTTATTGTGAAGAAATTTAAGTGTTATTATATTTTTAATATTTGTACATTTATAAGAACTCGGCGTAACAACTTGAAAATAAACGAGAAGGACAAGAAGGAAATCTTACTTCTTGCACAGAAGTGAAGGCATTCGTTTATTTCGTTTCTCCCAAATATTTAGATACAACTCACACAAATATATACAGACGATACTGAGCACATTTACAATTGTTTCATCTGATCATTGGTCGCGTTATCGTTTAAGAGACATTTATAAAGCAAATGTTACAATTGTCGTCGATCTCGATCGATCGTGATTATCGTATGGGTGCGCGCATAATAAATTAAAAACCTAAGCTATAATTTATTCGAATAAATTACTTAGGTATACGACAGACGAGTGAATTGATCACTCTTGGATTAGTATTGACCCATCGTTTATCGATCACTAAACGATGTTAATACTCGTCCACGTATTAAACGAATTTACGGATATAAAATTTTCCAATTTAATCGTATAACTTAACACCGAGCATAAATACAATGAGAAATGCTACGAATAAATATTAATTATTGAAATTTCTTTATCTACAAAATATATCGTCTTGTTACGCAAGCGTAATTAAGAATAATGGATTTTAACGTGCGATTCGATTCGATTCTGGCGGTTCTTTGGAACATGATCCAGAATATCCGACGTTTTCTTCTTTAATATTAATTATTATAAAGCGTGTTATAATAATTAATATCGTATACAGACGACTGTATAAATACATCGTGGACTATATTCGGTACATGCACGCGTTTTCATTTTTTTTTTTGTTTTTGTTTAACAGTTATACAATTAATTACATCATAACACGTACTTTTTAAACGATGACCACCATTCGAACTCTGGTGTTTTAAACGTTTCCGTAAATGATATTATTTAGTTCGCTTATTTAATCATTTGCAAACATCGTTTCCCTTATGTGCGTTGGAAGAAACAAAAAAAGGAAAGAGGATATTTTATTTCTCACATATCTGCACCGCTTTTCGACTTCGTATCGTTTTATGTATGTATTTATATACAATTATCACGTAGAAAACGATAACGAATGTGCAGAAAAAATAGGTTTCCTGGATATCGAGCAAGATTACGCACGATATGCAAAAATGCAGAATATATAATATCGTTCTGTCCATTTCCATCTTTCTCTTTATCTTTCTCCCTTTCTCTTTTCTTTAATTTTAGAACTGACTGTAGTTTGG